TTGCTATTTAAAACATCGTGTTAAATAAGACCTGTATGTCTAATTAAAAGTGGTCATAGCTCATATCTCTTGGGTATTGGCTAAGCGGATTCTAACTGCAGTTTTATTATAATGAGGCTTAGTTTTATGTTTTAATTTAAAAAAAATAGCTTTCAGTCGGCTAAGAAAGGTAAATGCAGGAATTAAAAAAAACTGACAATTAAAATTTTACCAGACTAGTATTCTTATAAAATGTGGGGTACATTAAATATTTTTTGGAAATTGAAATTGTCATTATTGTCGATACAGAGGCCGAATCTATAGATTTCAGAATTTTTGTCTGTCTGTCCGTCTGTCAATTTGGGAACGCATCACGTGAAAATCACTGGATAGATTTTGATGAAATTTTGTATGATGGTAGCTGGTTATAGCGGTCAACATATAGGATACTTTTTACTGCGGGAAAATATCTCATCTCTGAGAAATGTACACTAAATGTTAAAATGTAGGGGACGAAACGCGTCGCTAGTCGCTAGTACTGTTACTATTTGTATAGGATTATTTATGATTAAAAAAAAATCTTTAAATTTACACAGGACGAACTAAAACCAAACTATATATTTAAAAAAAAAACAAATATAATATAACTAGTTGCTAATACTCGTATCGCGCGATATCCCGTAACAAACGAAACTACATACACCCAAATTGAGTATCTCGTTCTTTTTAAGTCGGTCAAAAAATCATTATATTATCGATATCGCACTACTACATATTATGAATGCGAAATTTTTTATGTATGTACTTATGTTTGTTAGTCTTTTAGATTAGATTGATTTGGAGAATATATAGTACTTAGATTAACAATGACTACTAATAAATTTACCAAAAGGTGGCGCTGCTGGTCAACAATATTTTAAGCTAGACTTATTGGGGCTTCGTGGGTTTCTATTTGTGTGAAACCCTAATTATTTATCTTAAATAAAAACCAAGGCCTAAGTTACTCCATATAACATCAGCTATATCCCAGTGAAAGTCCCATCAAAACCGGTCCAGCCATTTTTGAGATTAGCCAGAACAAACAGACAGACAAAAATTTAAAAATGGTTTTGTTTATAAGTACCGATTATACCTACATATTTTCATAAGCATTTAATAAAAAGTTGTTATTTTGACATTACAAACAGACACTTCAATTTTAATTGTATACAAAAGCACATATCTATTATATATACGAGTCCGAACTTTCAGAAGTCATACTGACCATTTATTAGTATTCCTAACAAATTGCCATGAGGAGGCTGAGTATTGATTATCGCGTTAACACTGTTTTAGTACTGCATTATGGGAGCGGCAGTTTGGGGGATCTATCATTTGTCAAGTTATATTAACTTACTCGTGCACTACGAATATAAGTAATATTATGAAATTTGGTCGCTTTCATCTTGACTGACTTCAAAAAGGTTTTTAATTTGAATGTATGTTTATTGTGTATGTTACGCCATAATAATGAGATCGATCATATAATCGGTTTGCTTATAAATATGTTTGTGTGTATGTATGTACGTCTATCTGTATATTTGTGCGTGTGTGTGTATTTGAGTGTGCCCTGAGGGATGCTCTTGCGAAAATCTAGGGTACGTTGCTGTTGGTTGTATGATTATAATATTACTAAGGCTTCAAGCCTCCAGGCAAAGTCTACTTGTATGGATAGACATATCATTTTGTTATATATATATATATATATATATATATATATATATATATATATATATATAACAAAATGACAAACTTAGCGAAATCGATTTTAACTAAATTTTGTGTAGTGATAACTTGTTACTCGGGTCAACATTTAGGATAGCTTTTACTACAGGAAAATCTTTGTTTTCATGGGAAAACACAATAGCTGGTTCTATCGAGTAGTTTTTCGTTAGTTTTTTTTTTCGTTTAGAAATAACTATTAATTTATATTTAAAACTTCTGTAGACTGGGGTGTTTTAGGACAATTTATCTGATAGAAAATCAGATCATAATAATTGGAAAATGTTAACACGCGATACAATATGAAGAATAATTTATTTTAAGGCTCTTCTTTTTCATTGGAAGAGTTAGTTTTTACTAAAGCTCTTGTGTTTGTACCAGCAATATTTTGCCTTCGATTCCATCAGACTTGAAAGGCATTCCAGATTACTTTGCGCACTGACTTTTAATCATATTTTTATAGGTCAGATCTATGATATTTTTTACAAGTACGGCGCTTTGCTTCAATTACGATGATTTGTATCGCATTCTGATTTAGAAACGGGTTTCCTCAAATTTTTTTTTATTTCTAATCGTTTATTGGCGCTTCTCAAGAGATAGAATCGATATTTCAATAAGGTGTTGAATGATTTGATAACCACAAGTCTCCAGTTCATCAATTTCGGGTAATATTTTAATAATGGGTTCCATACCTCACATTCCAGATGGAACACTTGAGAAGAATCTCAATGCTTGATTTTTAGATATCTCACGTGATAATTTTTTTTAATATTCTATTACATTTGCAATAAAATGTTCTTTTGTTTTAAAAGAAAATTTTAGTTTGGTATAAATTGGTCCTCATGTTAGAAAGATATACCTATATAGTCTTTCTTATAGATAAATATATAAGAAAGGAGAAAAAAATGGCTGTTATTCAATCAAGAAAAGATATTGATATATTTGGATTACATTGAATTATGTGTAATATTATTTGATATTTAGAACAGATCTTGAAGATGATGATTTCAGTCTGTAGCAATGCTTTGTGAATTTGACAATGTCAATACAAAATTTATTGTGTAATCGAAATTTATTTTAAAATATATCCAAAAATAATATTAATAATTGAATTAATAGTATAAAAAATGTTTTAAAACACAACAAAATCGAAAGTGCATAATATTTAACACCATTCAGACAAAGAAAGACAATAGCATTCCCAAGGAGGGTTGACGTCAGGCAGGCGGCCGGTCGTAAAACTTTTGCCAAATCCTATCAGCAGTACACTGAAGATGTGCTGCGCCGACTCCAAGTGATTTGGGAAATGGGCAGGGAGAAGAAGAAGAAGAAGAAGAAGCAATGCTTTGTGCTGGTAACTATGTTGTGGTTGTTGGTCTCCAGTGCGCATTGTTTTGACGATCACTACGTAATTGTTTGATACAAATTAGTAATTTACTAGCGACTCACCATCGCATTCTCGCTTACCAGGTTCCCTATTGATTAGCAAATATTAATTATTATTATATATATTAAGTACAATATTATCAGATCCTTAAAAAAATAGAATGCATCGCTGCTAATATAAATATGTACTATACAGTACAAGATATGAGATATGATAATTTAGAGTTCAATCGAGTCTCATTAATGACGAAAGCCGGGGGTGGTTTTTTTTTATTTTCACAAGTTTCGAATGTATGACTTGACTTTTTCAAATAAAAGCTTTCTCTTATTTGAAAGTCCACGAAAAAATCTGAAAAGATGGTTCTATTTAAAATGTCAAATATTCGTGTAGATCTAAGAAAGTATTAGTCTTAAAAGTCAAATCTTACTTTAACAACAAATGTTAATAAATAAAAAAATGTAAATAAATAAAAAAAATAAAAAAATAAAAAAAATGTTCGAAATTAAAATGTTTAACCAAAAAATTCTTCATTGCATTTTGTGGAAATTAATAAATCTGTTCATTCTCCATTCAATTACGTTGGGTTCAATCCTATTTGAATGTCACGCGGCGGACCTGGCCAATACCAAGGTTCACGTAATGAACATACTGATCGTACTGCATTTTGATTGGTTCCGGGCTGGAATGAATGGTGATGTGTTGCTACCGGTACAGGCGCCGCTATAAAATTCGTTTTCTATTTAAAATACGCCCCACTCGTCTATTCCTGCTCTAAGAGAACACGCGAACCATATACAACCCTTAACTCGAAGTGAATTCAATAGTGTGAACAGTGTCGCGTCCATATACCAGCTTATAGCACAAAGTCTGTGCTGGGCTGCCCAACTTAGCTCCGCCGCCATCCACGAAGATACGGCGTTAAACCTCGACCAGGCACCTCGGCTTGGATTGCCACAGTACGACCGGTAAGTGCTTGTTGTTGTCCAGGCCCATTATGCGTTTCATTTGAATATCGTTGAACCGATCGTTTTATCGGCAGAACATCCTGTTCTGATCCAGAGTGTCGTCACCGGACCCTCGGCAGGTCCGTGTCGCCACATCTTTTGGTGCCGAAACCCGGGAACAAAGGTGCCTAGTTATATCGCTTGCCGTATTTGAATTCGTTAATATAGCTGGTATTTTTTGTCCGTAAAGTAATAAGTATACTACCTACTCTAGTCGAAAGTATTACTCATAATACATAATTTTACAACATTACAAAGCATACTTTTTTGTAATATATAAAATATAAAAATAATCTATACCTACTTTCGGCCATTGTCTCATACATCATACTTAATACTGTACCTTAATACGCTCCTTCACTAACCGACATCTTGTTCACCACTTTTGAATATCATTCACATTCAATTGCAACGTTCACATTTTCACTTAACTTCGTTCGTTATTATTAATAATACGTTATAAAATCTGCATACAGTTTAAATAATATAACTACCTATCGCAGATGATTCGTGCACTTTCTTATACGTAGAATGTTAGATAGTTACAGATCAAATATAAACAATCTATACATTTATACGGTGTTTATATAATCTTAATCGGCTGTAGCAATTTAATATTCGCTAACTCACAACATAACGAAACTCAATCAACGTATTTACATCTAAATATTCGTTCCTTCGCAAGATATACCTACGTTGCATTGTACTCATACACGCCACCGTCGCGCAGTAAGACGCGCATATGACTAATTAGAGAATTGCAAGTTAAAGACAACTTATACGTAGTTATAACTATTATTCGCTTATAACATTATATTGCTTTATTACAGTTATCTCGTAACCATTATATTTTCTTTTTATTTTACAAAATGTCGTTTAATCCAAAACGTAGTAGCCGTAAACTTACTACTTCTAGTAAATCGAAGATAAAACAGACGGGAACAGAATGCTATACTGTTCATGACTTACCATCTCTCAAAAGGAAACGTACTATTGCATTAAATCGTATGTTAAAAGCATTGGAAATCGGTAAGAAAGCAAAAGGCGATGAGGTTCACTGTGACCTTTTTTTCTCGTACTGCGATCAGGCAAAAAAGTTTGTGTCTGAGTTTGAAGAAGCGCATTTCTTTATACTCGAACTTTTGGACTCGTGTGATGGCAGCGTTGATGATGATGACATACGTGCGCGTTTTGACGATGCATACTTTCAAGTCATGGCTATACTTCGTAGTTTAACGAGAGGTGAATTGAATTTATCTGACACGTCTAATATGTCGGCTGGCACGAGTTCTAACATCAAATCTCCTTTGTCTCATGTACGCTTACCGAAAATCCAATTACCGAGTTTTTCAGGCAATATAAAGAAGTGGCCTGAGTTTATCGATACATTTAACGCTCTTATACATAATTGTAACTCCATAACGGACGTTGAGAAATTTCATTATTTAATCTCTTCGTTAAGCGGCGATCCGTTGTCACTTATTCGTGTGTTTCCCGTAACCGGTGACTATTATTCAGATGCGTATGCCGCGTTAATCGCGCGCTATCAGAATACTCGTGAATTAGCTTATACCTGTTGGAAGGATATTTTAAATGTAAATTTGAAAATTCAAAATATAAATGACTTTCGTCGTAGCTTGGACAGTATTGATGAGAATTTGAGTATTTTAAGAAAGTTAAATTTACCTGTTGAGCAATGGGAATTTATAATCGTTTATCATGTTCTATCGAAATTAGAATCGAAGTTGCGCCGGGATTTCGAAGAAAGTTGTTGTAGTTCTGAATTTCCTAAATATATTAATTTAAAAGAGTTTTTACATTCAAGATGTGAAGCGCTTATACGAGATAATCATTTTTCTGAAGCTACTAAAGCCGCTTTTCATGTTGTAAAGGATTCGATTAGGCCTCCTTCTAATATTGTTAAACGTCGTCCTGTTACTCACACATTAGTCTCTAGTCATTCGGATGATAAACTAAAAACTGGAGAAACGCGGCATGACAACTCCAAGGTTATGCCTAAATGCTCGTTTTGCACAGATGCTACTCATTCAATTGCACATTGTAAGCGATTTCTATCAAAATCGGTAGATGAACGCATGTCTGTTGCAAACGAAAAAAGATGGTGCTTCAACTGCCTTAAATCATCTCATCAATTAAAAGAGTGTAAGTCGATTTTCCGATGCCTTAAATGTAAACATAAACATCACACATTGCTTCACAAAGAGCAATCTACCGATACCCCGTCTCGTTCTGTGTCCTTAATCGCCAAGGCCTCTGGTTACGAATTATGTACAAAATCTTCACTAAACACAACTGTTCTTCTTGCTACCGCTATAGTGCAGATAGTAGATGAAAAGGGTCGGTATCATTGTTTTCGGGCACTGTTTGATACTGGCAGCCAAAACAATTTAATTACTTGTGACGCCGCTCGAACCTTAAATATTAAACAAGTACCATGCGATGCAAATATTAACGGTTTAGGTGGAGTGTCTGCAGATGTCAGTCACATGGTTCGTTGTTCACTCGCATCAAACAACAAGGTTTTATTCGATGTTGACATGCATGTCATATCAACTATTTGTGGCGATCAGCCTATTGCTAAACTTAATACGAATGGTTGGTCTCACATTCAATCGTTACCCTTGGCAGATCCAGGTTTCGATATACCTGGGCCTATCGATATTTTGCTTGGTGCAGATATATTCGCTGATTCTCTATTGGACCAATGTATGAAGGGTCGGTCTAATCAACCTGTTGCGATGAATTCAGTCTTTGGATGGCTTTTATTAGGTAGAACACACCTCACATCCTCGTCCTTATTACAATATACAGCCAAATCCGACGAGCTGACTTCTATGGTTCAACGCTTCTGGGAGATTGATAATGTTCCTCAAGCATCAATTCTCACACCACTAGATATGGCATGTGAAAAGGCATATGTCACCGACCATTATCGTGATTCAACAGGCAGATACGGAGTTCAGTTACCTTTTAAGGATGGTATAGAGCCAAAGTTTGAGAATTCTCGTAGTCTTGCTTTAAGGCGTTTCAAGGCCATTGAGAACCGTCTCTCCCGCGATCCGACGTTATATAAGCAGTATTCAGAATTCATGGAGGACTATGAGAAGAGTGGCCATATGACGCTTGTCCCCGTGAAGGAGCTCGGTGAAGGTAAATATTATATACCACATCACTGCATCTTTAAACCAGATAGTAGCACCACAAAACTTCGCGTTGTTTTCGATGCATCGGCCCGAGACGCCAGCGGTAGGTCGTTAAACGACACGCTACTGACAGGCCCTAAGCTTCAGAGTGATATAGTGCAGGTTCTTCTCCTTTTTCGTTTACACGTAGTTGTGTTTTTAGCGGATATACGTCAGATGTATAGACAGATTCTTGTAGCTGATAATCATAGAGATTATCAACGGATTCTTTGGAGGTCTAGCCCTGGTGAAGTTTTGCAGGAATACAGGTTAAATACTGTCACCTACGGAGTCTCCTCTGCACCGTTTCTAGCATGTAGAACTCTTAAACAGCTAGCTGAGGATGAAGGCTCTGCATTTCCTCTAGCAAACCAAATTCTGCATAGCGAGATTTATGTTGACGACATTGTAACCGGTTGTGAGACTCTGGACGAGGCTCTAGAGGCTAAAGCACAAATTATAGAGCTTTTGGAATTAGGGCATTTCCAGTTGAGGAAGTGGGCCAGTAACATACCAGAGTTACTTTCTGATATTCCTCAGGAAGAATGTCTGCTTAGTTCCAAAACATTTACCGGCCATGACTCTTGTAGCCTAAAGGTGCTTGGTTTAAAGTGGGAGCCAACTACCGATACATTTTCCTTTGATGTTAAATCTTCAATCCGACCTTGTACAAAACGAGTTATTCTTAGCGAGATCGCGAAGATCTTCGACCCCTTAGGTTTCCTTGCACCTCTAACCATCAAGGCGAAGTGCCTCTTGCAACGGCTCTGGCTGCTTGGTATCGATTGGGACAGTGATCCACCCGAAGATGTGAATAGCGTGTGGGAAACATTTTGCAATCAGCTGTCTATATTAAAGGACCTGCGTATACCACGGTGTATGACAATTAACAACACTTTAACGTACGAATTACATGGATTTTGTGATAGCTCGGAGCTTGCGTATGGAGCAGTTATTTATATTCGAGTTTCAACTGCAGACGGATTAACACAAACACGATTAGTATGTGCCAAAGCTCGAGTAGCTCCCATTAAGCAAATCTCTTTGCCTCGATTGGAGTTGTGTGCAGCCGTCTTGCTGACAAATTTAGCAAAATTTGTGCTGGATACATACTTAACAAAATTAACGCTCCACGCTATTTATCTATGGTCTGACTCGACCGTCGTCCTATCTTGGCTTCGTTCACACTCCTCTCGATGGACCACGTTCGTAGCTAATCGTGTGGGACATATCCAGGATATTTTCTCTACGGAGGTATGGCATCACGTAGCGTCTTCAGACAATCCTGCGGATATTTGTTCACGTGGGAATCTTCCTTATGATCTATTTCATAACTCATTATGGTGGTCAGGGCCAGTGTGGCTAGTAAAACCGTCCGATCAATGGCCAACCAATAGAAAAACTTCTCAATCTTATAGTTCTGAGGACGAAAACATCGTAAGAGCTGAAGAGCGCCGTACAGTTGTTTTGGCTACTTGTTCAGAAGATGAGTATGGCACTCTTATCCTCAATTTAATAAAATTATATTCGTCGTTAGAAAAAATAATGCACATCGTTTCTTATATTCGACGATTTATACATAATACGAAAAATCCACATGATCGTCATAGAGGCTCAATTCTAACTGAAACCGAAAATCATAACTCATTGTTATTTATCGTGAAATTTGTCCAATCTTCGTCATTTGCTGGTGAAATTCAACGGCTTCGAGCAAAGCAACCACTACCAAAACCGTTGCGTAAATTAAATCTGTTTCTGGATGAGGATGGTATTCTCAGGGTGGGCGGTCGGATATCCCGTGCTGGTCTTGAATTCGAACACCGACATCCCGCTCTTTTACCTAGTAACCATGAATTTACTTATAGGGTTATCGAATCCATACACCGTCAACATTGCCATACGGGGCATAATACTACGCACTACTTAATATTGCAACGGTTCTGGATATTGTCAGCTAAACGTGTTATACGACGTTGTCTTTCCCAATGTATTAGATGCTTTAGAACAAAACCTAAATCGTTAGAGCCATACATGAGCGATCTTCCTTCATTTCGTGTTAATCAAGTGAAACCATTTTCTATCGTAGGTGTTGACTTCGGCGGACCTTTCCGTATCAAACAAGGTACACATCGTGGAGCCAAAATAGATAAGGCTTATCTCTGTTTATTTGTATGTTTAGCTACAAAAGCCGTCCATTTGGAAGTCGTATCATCGTTGTCAGCTGATGGATTTTTGGCAGCATTGCGTCGTTTTGTTGGACGTCGTGGTCGTTGTAATGTGATCCATGCAGATTGTGGAACAAATTTCATAGGTGTGAGCAATCATCTATCCTTACTAAAGAATGCCTTGCATACGGAACGAATTAAATTTGAATTTAACCCTCCGTCAGCCCCTCACTTTGGTGGTGTGTGGGAAATTCAAATCAAAGCGGCCAAATCTCATCTGTATCGCATTATAGGTAATCAGGTTTTAACTTTCGAAGAACTGTCCACGCTATTTGTTCAAATTGAAGCAGTGCTAAATTCGAGACCTCTTTATGCGTTAAGTACCGATCCAAATGACTTAAATGTTCTAACTCCTGGTCATTTCTTGACTTTAGAACCTCTTACGACCGTCCCAGATGTAGATTATACTAATATAAAACTTCATAGATTAACCCGTTGGCAGTTAATTCAGTCCTTCCTACAGAATTTTTGGATTCGTTGGAAAAACGAATATTTACACTCATTAACCTTACGTGCTAAATGGACAAAGACCTCTAAGCCACTCGATGTAAATGCTGTTGTTTTGATAAAGGATGACAATCGTGCTCCATTGCAATGGTCTTTAGGAAGGGTGACGGAGTTGCATCCCGGTCCGGATGGTATCGTCCGAATAGCAACCGTTAAAACTAAGGAAAGCTTGATTAAACGACCTCTTGTAAAGCTATGCCCTCTTCCTATCGAATCGTAATTCACATGATCTTGAGCTATTGTATACTAAACTAACGTTTTTAACATATATCATATTTTATACTATAACATTATCAGTCGTAGCATATATTATTCGTAACACATACATATACAATATACCTTATACTATTATTTATTTTATACTTAGATTATCGTTTTTTTTTTTATTATTATTTACCTATTAATCTGGAAAATACCAGCTGTATTTTGGTGGGCGGTATGTTCATTCTCCATTCAATTACGTTGGGTTCAATCCTATTTGAATGTCACGCGGCGGACCTGGCCAATACCAAGGTTCACGTAATGAACATACTGATCGTACTGCATTTTGATTGGTTCCGGGCTGGAATGAATGGTGATGTGTTGCTACCGGTACAGGCGCCGCTATAAAATTCGTTTTCTATTTAAAATACGCCCCACTCGTCTATTCCTGCTCTAAGAGAACACGCGAACCACATACAACCCTTAACTCGAAGTGAATTCAATAGTGTGAACAGTGTCGCGTCCATATACCAGCTTATAGCACAAAGTCTGTGCTGGGCTGCCCAACTTAGCTCCGCCGCCATCCACGAAGATACGGCGTTAAACCTCGACCAGGCACCTCGGCTTGGATTGCCACAGTACGACCGGTAAGTGCTTGTTGTTGTCCAGGCCCATTATGCGTTTCATTTGAATATCGTTGAACCGATCGTTTTATCGGCAGAACATCCTGTTCTGATCCAGAGTGTCGTCACCGGACCCTCGGCAGGTCCGTGTCGCCACAAAATCAGTTCCATGATAATAATTGGGACACACTAAAAGCTGCAAAGGCAATTATAGTTGATTAAAAATATCATATAACTACCGCAAAACGCTTGTTTATTCACGTTTCTGATTAATTGAAAACCAAAGTCATTATTGCAAATTAAAACTCCTGTTTAAATTGTACAAAGGCTTCCAAAAAACCAATAAAAATATGATAGTAAAAGAGTACAAACAAATCAGATAATTGTATGAGTGGTGATACCATTCATTTCAAAGGTAGCTGATAACTCTGATTCGATAACTGTACCTGTTGACTGTTGTTATCTGAACTTTCAAAATAATAACAATGAAGAGCTTTCGTCAAAATCCAGATTAAGTTTTAATGTTTGAAAATGTTTTCTAAATGGAAATGTTAATATTCATTTTTTACTAGATTAAATAATTATGTAAACGGAGCCCATCAAATAAAATTTCAATGTCAAAAATAGTAGTGATAGCCCAATGGAAACGCGCTTGCTTGGAAACCAAGTGAAGTTGGCTTAAATCCTGGCTCCCGCACCTCTTTTTTTTAACGTTCGTAAATGCATTTACGCGCAAGCCAGTACTACCCACTAAGACCCAACAAAACCTTCCCCCGTCTTAATATAATTTTATTATATGTATAGATAAGTCGTTCATTTACAATTTCTGAGAAGGAAATATGAATATTAAATATAATACTACATTCCTTTGTATTGTATAAGCTTTAGTTCTCTTCCCCTTGAAGTAGAGATAGCATAATAATAGCGTGTTTAGATTTCTTTCTTCATTATAATGAAATCAGTGAGCTTTTTAATTATCAACATTTATTTATTTATCAGAGGAATGAGTATCTATTCATATATATATATATATATATATTAAATATTAAATATTGTTTGGCTTCATGTTTAGTTCTACAACATTCTGTCCAGTGTCCATATTACTCCTTAGTCTGAGTTTATACTAAAAAAATTGTTGTTATAGAAATTTTGCACAATTTTTTGTAGGCTAATAGAAATAATGCGTAAATGGTAAGTATTTTGATATCCGTAAATTAAACAAAAAATAGATACGTATATTAATTTCCAATCTTTGAAGGACAACTTGATGATCAAATTATTATAATTATTGTCAAAACCTAACGATGTAAACACTTACGGTCTCATGTATATTTATAACAAAACAAACGAGTATCTAGAATTATAAGTCGCATTTAATGAACAGGTAGAAAGTCATGTAATATGTTCCAGAGTTATTCGTGGAATAAATTCGTGGAATTCATGAAATTTTATAATTACAATCACCGTGCACTATTTTAATATATAACTGTAAAATATTAAACATCGTCACGAAAATTTTTGCTGGAATCGAGTCACTGAGGTATTATGATAATACTATATATATATATATATATATATATATATAATATATATATATATATATATATTTTAGAATAATATATTATGCAAAAGTTTTAAATATCCACTTTTCTATACAACGTTGTTTTTTTCGATAACGGATTAGGAAGGAAATAAAAGCACTTTCTATATTGATAAATGCTGGATGAAGGTAGCCATAGCTGTATATGTATGAAATCATTTCCTAGATGTGTGGATAAATGGTAAAATTCTTGGAATCAAAGTTATACATTAAATATTTTTGCAAAATAATGTCTTTTAAAGATGCGTGAACAATTTTGATTAATTGTCTGTCTGTCTTCCATTCCGGTACATATCTCCGACCTTATCACTTTGATCCATCAGTGAACTAGAGCGGTATGTTATATATATATATATATATATATATATATATATATATATATATATATATATATATATATATATATATATAAAACATATCGCTCTAGTTCACTGATGGATAATCAACTATTTTGATATTCGATAATTAATCTGTGAGTAAGCCCAAGCTATCAAGATGTCTAGTCTTTGTCAAGTTGACTTTACTTTTTCTCGGGCTGGCGCAATATACGAATCGGTGTATTTTATTACTGGATAGTTTTTATAGAATTGTATTCACAAACCAGAAATTAATACAAGTGCTTCAAAATAAATTATTAATTGTCAGATTTATTATATATATTTATATATATATATATATATATAAAATATTATATAAGTAAAAAAAAACATATAGACCGTAAAATCACTTATATATCGCGTACGATAGTTTTGGATTACGATTGTTGAGAAAAAAACAATTTTTGACTACTTTAGCTATAAGGACTGCTTTGTCCACTTTAGCCTTAGCTAGGAACAATTGCTCAGGTATTTTCAGATTCTTTAGAAAAAGTGTTGCAACAGACTATCATCGCGGGTGTAATACTCTGTGACTAATTATTATACTATATACGCAAGAATCAAATCTATGTGTTTATAAAGGCTGCAATTACAAAACGAAAGACGCAAATACGCTATAGCATTTAAAATATAAAAAGAGGCTTTCATCTGTCTGTCTGCATCGAACCACTAAACGTTGTTTTGAACTCATAACATCAGATTTAATGAAATGAAAAATATTACACAAATCTATATACAATACCAATAACAATGAATGTCCATACGTTTGTCCTCTATGGGTTCCTCAACCATTGATCCGATGGTGACGAAACTCTGATGGGTTATTATACTATGTATGCACTTGCGAAGGTTCTTGGCGTAGAGAAAAATATTTTTTCTTTGTAAGTTTATCTTCAATGCATTTCTAAAACTTCTTTCTCTACATTGTAAAGCTTAGTATAGATTTCTCAGAGATGAGATATTTTCCCGCAGTCAAAACTATCCTTTATATTGACACGGATAACGAGCTATCATACCAAATTTCATCAAAATTTGTCCAGCGGTTTTCTCGTGATGCGTTCACAGATCGATAATAATGACTATTTCAATAAGATTTTCCAAAAAACATTTCATGCACAGATTCTATTCAGTTAGAATTTTATTATACTATGTATAGATTTAATTTATATTAGTTAGAATTCAAACTATTGTGTATTTATAATACAAAGTAAAATAATTTATGTATATTATAATTTTATTCCACGTATGTTGCTTGTATATGGAAAATATCGAGACTTTCCGATAATTGATTTTTACTTGTAAATTGCGTGAACATATGTAAAACAATGCGCAATTTATTTTTTGTAAAATGGAAAAAAAACTTTTTGTAACACATATTATATTGAATTCTAGAAAGTGTACCTACTAAAACTATCTTACTCGCATTACATTGATACACGGTAAAGGAAGAACTGTTGCACCAAGATGTGTGTGGCAATCCAGCCGGGCAGCCAAGAGAAACACCAGGAATCAGCCCACCTCGATGGTTGGTGTGCCATGCAGGTTGCTCCAGGTACAGGGACCGTTGGAGCGACCCCATTGTTGTTATGGTGTACCTCAGACCTGCCGTCAGGGCGTCATGAGAGCATAAGCGATCCTGCGAGGCCCCATTAATACGGGAATGGTTCCGTTTGGTTTTGGTGGATAATAGAATGGATGTATCCAGGTGGTATGTGTAAAGTATTAGGGACTTCTCTAACAGAGATTGAAGTACATGAGTTTCAAGATCGGAATCCTGCTGCAACTTCTTAGAAATTGTTACCATATCTCTTTCAGATATCCCTTCAAATTTAATTTCAAACAACAATAGAACCGGAGGTTTTTATTTATTTATAAAATACAGCATACGATATTTCAATAGACTTCCAGATAGAGTACTTCAAAATGAAGTTATGATAAGTTCTAGTTATTGGAAAGCGAGTTCTGAGTGCATATCTCAATATTGGATTTACGTTGTAAAACGTAAAATACGTGGCTTATAAATTGTTTTTAAATTGCAGGAAATCATACAATTTACTTCGTTTTAAGAGAATATTCGCAATAACTACATTTCGCTCTAAGCGAGATGCAATATTGAAAACTTTTTGCTGAATATATATTGCGCAGGGCTATTTACTAGGGATGCGTTAATGCTACAGAACATTGGATATACGTATAGCCTATACATATAATAAAATTCTAACTAAGCCGAATCTGTACATTAAATATTTTTTTGAAAATCTTATTAAAATAGTGATTATTATCGATACGGAGGCCGAATCTATAGTTTTTAGAATTATTGTCTGTCTGTCTGTTTGTTACCGCATTACAGAAAAATCACTGGAGAGATTTTGATGAAATTTGATATGGCGATAGCTGTTTATCCATATCAACATATAGAATACTTTTTACTGCGGAAAATAACTCATTTTTGAGAAAAAATACAAAAACTGCAATGCAAAAATACTAATATGTAAAATATACGAATTTGGTTTTTGGTCATCTGAACGCGAGCGGAGCCACGGGCAATGCTAGTTACCTTATAATATTAAATGAGCAATCCTTGTATATATATTTTACTTCGTATATATCTAAACGATTTGGATCAAATGTTGTATGTATTTAGATAAAGTTTGGCTTTTAAAGTTTATCTACTGAAGCTCAGTCGTCCTGGTTAGTATTAACGTATGAAAATTAGTTCTGTACTACTGAGAAATAAGTTTTTTAATAATAGTGGATTATTAACTTTTTTAATATATTACGACGGTAATCAGGTAATATGGAGTCTTTCCCCGTATAGGTATCCTAATTTCTGGTGACTTAGATGTAGAGATTTAAACGGACAAATGTAGCTAGCATTTCCGTTTAAATTGAATCAAGCAGTAAATATAATGTAGTTTGGTTGTTGCGTCAATTATCTATACTAATATAGATGTAGAGTTTGTTTGTTTGCGCCAATCTCAGGAACTATTGAACCGATTTGAAGGCTATAGGGATGATATATATATATATATATATATATATATATATATATATATATATATATATATATATATATATATATATATATATATATATATATATATATATAGCAAAGAAGCTGAAACAATACCTATGCAATAAAAAATATCCTTTTAGTAAAATGACACATAAAAGTTTTTGGTTTTATTAAATTCACGTTCGAACTCTCTAAAAATTTTTTTAGGTTTGAGCATTTCTTTTATTGGGAACTAAAATCACGTGGATTTTTAGATTTTTAGTGATACTTTTATACACGTTTTTTATTTGGCAGAGTAGAAATGAATGTTAACAGGAAGGACATTTTAAACACTATTCAATAATATATTTCTCCAGTTTACGATGAGGGTAATTTGGACAGGTAACCTACACACCAAATAATATCAACCAAATTATATATGGTATGAGATATTTGAATATAATAAAGAAGAAAATAATGCTATTATGGAAAAGCACAAGAACGAAGATCTAAAGATAATAATATTTTTATTATTATTATTATATCTGATTATAATTTGTCTAAGTCTTGACAGCGGTCGGGGGTTCGAGTCCCGCTGGGGGCATTCATTTGTGTGATGAGCACGAATGTTTGTACTCTAGTCGTGGGTGTTTATATTTATAATATATATGTATTTAAAAATTATATACGTGTAGTGTATTAACTATCTGGTATCCATAACACAATTCTCGTAGCTCACCATGGAACTAGATGGTGCCATGTGTTAATGTCCCAACAAAAAAAGTCACTCAAAAACTCAAAACGCTATTTCAGATAGACAGAAACTGAAGGAATAAATACCATGCCGAAGAGAAGGTGAAGAATATGAGCATTTCTGCGGAATCGGATTGGGAGCCACTTGAGCTTTTAGAGAAATTGTGAAACAACTTTATATTATGTAACACCGGAAATAAACCGGATACAACATTTTGTAGTGGCTTAAGTTTATTCAAGTGGTCCTATTTATTGTAGTGATAACAAATATAATAAAGTGATAGCATAATCAAGAATTGGTTGTAGAACAAAATTCACCAGTGCAATTTTGATAAAAATTGACATCCCACCCCATTGACACCCCATGACAAGTACTGATCTATTTTTTTAAACCAAGATCTTTAACTTTTTCATGAAAACGATTCTGAACACCATCTGGCAATATTCTTGTCCTTTGCATACTTTATAGTTTATTTGTTGTTCCGGATGTGCTACAGACAATGTTTCTACGGTTATTATTTATATTTTTAAATCGAAAGAAAGTACTTATTTCCAGGTAACAGATATTACTAAGGGTATAAGTTTGAAGTTCACGGAGAATACTAAACACCTTTTACCTTTTAGGCTTGTTAGGGGAAGCATTTTAATGGCGATCTGATTTCATATTCCGCGTTCAACCTTTAATCCAGATACTGATGCTTGATCGAGTCTAACGACACTTATTTACGACTTAATTTAATATATAACAAAATGAAAGTATAATATTCCCTACAATTAAGAAGTAAATTGGATCCGATTGTACTAATAAAAATTTTCTGGTCAATGTTTGAAGAATAGATCAATTTAGAAATATTAGTTTATAAATAAATGGTTGGAATATACTATTGGTGGATGGTCATGTTTACTTAAAAATGGATTAAGTAGTGTTTTGTTATGTTTTTATTGTTTCTCTGAATTGTAGTTTTGTAGTTTTAATAACATTTTATTTTATTTAAAAAAATAATAATAAAAAGTATAAAAAATAATTGAGTCTCGCTGAGTTACTGTCATCTGCTCTTCCTAGGGTTACCGCTTTTTTTTCAAGCTGGCGGTAGACAAATGAGGTATAGAAAAATAATTTAATAATATTATAATGTTCAAAAACTATTTTTGATTTTAAATTTGATAGATAAACTTTTGCCCCTCATTTTATGTATTCAGTTCATTAATAAAACACATATATTTGTAAATTTTTAAGTCAATTTAATTAATTATTATTCTACTTCTAAAAACAAACATTGTTTTATTATACTGAAAGTTACTTAAATACTTTAATATCATAATATTGAAATCACTAACATGTCGCCAAGAAGGAATCGAGATTAAATCGTCAGATTTAATTTACATGAATGAATGTCTTTTATTATCCACATGGCCTAGCTTTATACGTTATAATGGTCATAGAAGTGAAGCTTTTCTAGTACATTATTCGTGCATTCAACATGTTTATCATCCGTATTAAACTGTCTTGAACATATATATATATATATATATATATATATATATATATATAATCTGGCTATAAATACTCTCACAACTAAAAATAAACAAAATATTACGTTTGAATTTGGAATCTGTCATTTTTATGATTCCTCATTGTTTTCTCATTTTCGCGCAAATACATTGTAAAATATTTTCTGGTATTAAATAGAGTGGGGTGATAAAGGATAAAGAGATCGCTGTGATTACATTACACAAAGTAGGTATGGAGCAAATACAATTTTTAAAAATCTCCATACGCTTGGTATTAGTTAAATGTTTGTGTACCGGGCTATTGATAGATATAATGTAACCTCCTCTGTTTGTCACAGAAAAAGATCTGGCCGTCCACGTAGTATTCGTAAGATAAATACTTTTTAACAAAAAAATAAAAACCGACTTCAAACAAAAGCACTAAAAAGTATAAAATAACTGATTGGTAGTTTTCATTTACTATACATACCTAATCAAATATTTTCGAAGTCGGTGTGTTTTTTTTTTTTGTTAAAAAGTATTTATTTTTCCCTTTTTAGTGTAGACAATAGTAGCAAAGTAAAAATTCTAACGTGTTAGGCTTGTCAAATCAAACAAAATAAGCCCAAACTCAAAGTATCTACTATTAGCCGTTGAAGAGTTCCTCCACCTATCCACCTTCTGGCCTTACCATCAGATCCAGTCAACAATACCGAACCACTGTACTATCAACGGAAATAGAAACACTTACAATGTTTCAAGTCAATATGACAATTAGAAGTAGGTTAAATTCATCATTAGCTATTTTTCCACCCTTAGGAGTGGTAATTTTTTGAAATTTAAATGGAACCAATCTGGAAGTATACACTTTCAAACAACACAAAAATTGTCTAAATCTGTTCATAAATGACAGAGTTCTGAGGTAACAAACATAAAAAAAATACAGTCGAATTGAGAACCTCCTCCTTTTTGAAGTTGGTTAAAAAAGGGGTTAAAATAAGGGAAAGAATTTGAAGTAATCCTGTCCGAAAGCAAAAGATTTTATCTCGGGAGATGAAGATAGCACCTAGAAAGAACCATGTCGCGTATTTTAAAAGATAATAATATAATAATAATAATATTCTTTATTTGTAGTAAAAAAATCAGGTTTAAAAAATGTACTCTACATAACTGTTTCGCTTAAGACATAATAATATCAGATTATCCAGTAAGAGTGCTTAGGAGATGACTTAGGACTTGCAGCCTAGAAGAGATGCACTGGTCATTTCTTAACTGACAATTTAAAAAGGATAGGGTGGTAAAATCAAAACAACTACTTGAGTGTTTAAGTAGTACGCAAAGGGAGGTCACAGAAAAATTTTAGTTTACGGATGAGAATATTTTTAAAATTGAGCAATATTTTAAATAAACATAATGACCGTATTTCTGCTGTATGTACGTATGTATGTACAACGTGGGCATTATCTGACTTCAGTGATGGTTTGGTGGGGTGCTAGCTATGAAGGAATGACTTAGCCATATTTTTGTTAAAGAGGTATCAATACATCGG